AGCTCAACGCGCTCGGTTCGACCCGGGCGCGACCGGTTAACTTGCTCATTGGGTTCACCGCCTTAAGATGACTAATAGTGAAGGTGGCAGTTATCTCCCCAGCTATAGGTAACTTGTATGTTGGTGTGAAGTGGACTTGCCTTACTTTAATTATGCTTGCCAACCGATCTCCTGAATTGCAACAATAGTCACTCGAGAAACTTACTCTTACGGTTTCTCTCTTGCCATGCGAAATTCTCCACACGCCTCACAACACACATTCGGTGAAGCACACCGTTCCTTCCGCGACAGACGATTCGGTCCAGAGTTTATTCAATCTGCACGGGAGTTTTTTTTGTCTGCGTTTTCGGCTCCTGCATTTGTTGTGGTTATTTTTTATCCACATACATTATAGTCTGTTTCACCCCGACTAGTGTCAACCGGAACACCTGGTCTGTACCCTTTAATCGAATCACCACGAAAGCCCTTGTAATCTGCATTAGAAATGGAGGTCAAAAGGGAATAGTCTGGCTCTCTGTAAGTTGCCTCGGCACAGCCACCCTCAAACAAAGCCAACCGGCAGGTAATTAATTGACGGTTGATTGGCACACAGCCGCGCTCGTGCGGCCTGCCTATTGTCAGCCTCGGCCACGTGGGTAAATTAAATCGTCCCCTGCCCCGTTTTACCTGAGCACAAGTCTGGACAAAAGCGAAGTTTGTCTGCACATCGTGGCTTTTCTGCGCAAGCTCATGCAGCGTAGATTTCGCAAATATTGTCCACGTTAGGACCTTTCTCTCACAAACTTCGTTCCGGAGGGTAAGGGCGACGCCAGCGTCGCGTCGCATCGCGCTGCCTTTGGACGGTCACTCCAGGAGGTTCAGTTGGAACCCACCTGCTCCAACTGACCACATTCAGAGAATCGGGTTTCACTGATAACAGCTATGTCTTCCCGACTAGCGACGTTCTCCGTTCCGACCGGTTGTACCGCAAATTGTCTAAAAAGAAACGAACATTCCTGACTTCTAGCGTGAGCGCACCCAGTCTATCAGCCTGCGCGTTATGACGGGGAGTGGGAACGGAGATGCTGTTTATTTGAGCGTTTCGGTCGACAGCGCTCAATCTGAGAACTACTTTCTCCATGCAC